AAACGTATATTGTTATCTATGTAAATTTTGTACTAAATCGGGACACCAATTATTTATGATATGTATGTGATGTGTGTGTAGACGAGAGAAATAAAGTTTTTGCATACCTGTGACTATTAACTTAAAGAGTTACTAGAAAATCGGAAAATAATTTAAATAGTCAAATAACGATAGTCTTTTTTATGACGAACTTAATACTAAATAGGAGAAGAAGCATTTAAAAAGGCAATAAAAGTTTTTTAATCAGACAGACGACTTGTCTTAATGTATCAGTATTACCTTTGTTTATTTTTTTCTGTATTTTATTTATAAGAATATATTGTATTTCAAGAAGGAACGGTACTTTTGCTGAATTATACGGTCACAGACATTATCAGAATCTCTATTATTTTTTCGTTTCATTTCATTTCGAAAAAGTATTTAGACAGAAGAAATTCTGCACTTATGCAATGATTGATTATGAATTATGTATTAGGATAACCTAATTAGAACTTTTCAGTGTAAAAAATCAATACAGAATTGAACACTATCTAGAACCTATAAAATATTATTAGAATAATGAATATTTATCGAAACATTATGAGAATATTTATTCTTCAATATTATGTATAACTTTAAATAAAAATCATAAAATCATAAGAAGAAAATAATATAACTGATTACTCTTTTCAACCCTATATTTATTACACGAACTGTATATTGTTCTTTTTAATAAATCTTTATATATCCTTATGTATAAAAATTGAGTCTTACATTGTCGGTTTTCCATAGACTCCGAAACTACTGAACCGATCTTAATGAAATATTTTCAGTAAAAATTCTTATAAAATGAGAATGATTTGAAAACTGATGGATATTGAGCTTTCAGACTTGATATTAATAAAAAATTTTAAATTAAATACATTTATAATAATTAATAGTGTTAATAATATTGCGTATTTTTAGGCGTTGTGATTCCAAACAACGTGAGACGAATAAATTATGACCAAAATTTTTTTGCTATTTTTCAAACATTTAAAAGTATTAGTTGCAACAACAAAATTTTTTTTATAATTATAAACTATATCAATTATTAAGGGTATAGCCGGATAAGTATGGGAAATCTGCCCTCGTGGCTTTTTTGACTCGCACTTGGGGGATCGATTTGGTGTCGAATAAAAATAATTCACCCCAAATTCTAGGTCTTTTACTCAAACGGTTCTCGAGATATTTAAATAACCTGTTTTTTCGATTTTATTTTTTTTTTATAGTAAAATTCAAAACTAACCAATGATGATTTTTTTTTCTAATTCTTAGGAGTCTAAGACATGAAAAAAAATATTATCATAATATTTTAACGAAAAGCCGATTTTTGGTGGACGAAAGAAAATTACATTTTTTTTTTTTGGCTTTTTTGAAATATGTCAGTCACCAAAATTTTTCAGAAAATGTCTTTTATACTCCTCTACACTCAGGAATTTTCTTGAATTTTTTGAAGTGGTGGAACAATATGAAAAAAATTAAAAACTCATTTTTTTCTAAAATCCCAAGTTTTAACTAATTTATGTTTTTTTTTCAGTTAAAAAAAAAATGTGAAAAATAATTTTTTTACTCAAAATACACAATAACATTACTTATCAAACATTTTCAATCATTTGGTTTCACAATGATTACGTAAAAACTATTTTTTTTTTAATACGTTCCGAGCTGACGCATTTCAACGCTATATATCGGGATTTTCACTAACCAGCAATCATTTTTTTCTAAAGTTTTGCTTTAAAGTTTTCTTTATTTTGCTTTGTTGTTTGCTTACAGGGGTAGCATTACAACCACTTGAATAAGTAAATTTTTTCATCGAATCTGTCTGTATATTTCTCAATTCCCTATACTGTAGGAAAAAAATCTAGAATTCAGCTCTTTTCGTTATATTCTATTTTCTGGAAAGGAAAATTCTATTCAGAAACTGAAGGGAAAGTTTAGAAGGGCCATAAAACCATAAACAAACATAAGAATTATCGGGATATATTGGTGCAATAAAAACCCTTTGTGCAGTGTCGGGACCCTTTGAAGAATTTCGGATTCCTATGTAAACATATGCGGTATACCATAAAAGAAATAACATTCCGATGTTCCAGATCAAGTTTCTTTATGCATTGTTTACACTACCAAAAACTATAGGCTGTACCCATCGGTGGACCATGGGGTGGATCCTTATGATATTGGTCAATAAGATTTATAATCTCCTTCCCTCTCCAAAGGGGTGTAGCTCATTTCTGATATAAATATGTGGAAAGAAGTAAAATAAGTGTCTTTAGTCTTCAGTCCTCAGTTAGTCCGTCTGTATCTGTCCTTAGTCAGTCCTTAGTCAGTTATCTTCAGTTTTATATTTCTTTCTCTGTCTGAAAACCTCACAATACATAATTCAAATCTTTATTTCAGAATGGATTTTGATAAAAAATGCATTAATTGTAACAGATATTTGCGAAAAACAGTTGGATATAAAA